TAATTTAATTTAATAATTTAATAATTATAAAAATAACTTAATTTAACAATCTAAAACAATTTATAACTTATACTCAATAACTTTAATGACAATTTAACCTTAGAATTTTCCTTCTTTTTTACAATGTATCATTCATTAAATTACTAATTATACCGTTCATTAATAAGACATTATATATATTATAATATATATTTTGAATGATAATTATGAATATCAATATTTCATTTTACTTAAAAAATATTTTTCTTAGTTTTATTACACATATATCACAAAAGATTACAAGCAGTAGGTATGTCTATTTATATAATTTTTTTCTGCATATATCTGCGGAAGAAAATATTTTTGTTAAACTACTCAATATTCTTAAATTTAATAAATCTTACGATAACAAAGATAAAAATACAAAAAATAAAAAAAAAACGATTTTTTAAACAATTTTCTCTTGAAAGAAAGGATTATGTGTACTAAAAAATGAAGGAAAATGAATTGCTTTAAAAGATTTCCCTCAAAATCATGGAAAAAAGAAGAGAAGATAACAGAAATTAACTCGGACAAAAATGAAGGTTAAGAACTGCCGCAGACAAAATTTTTGTAATAGTAATCTTGACATGAACTTAAGCTGATGAGCCAATCAGGATACTGCTTTAGATCTATGTAATCTGACGAAAATAGATCAGTAAACTTATTCGTAAGATAAATTTCAACCGGTCGAAATTTGCTTTAGGGATAAGTTTATTGCTATTTCTATTTCTGTCAAATTACGTAGATCTAAAACAATATTCTGATTAGCTTATCGGCTTAAGTTACACCTTACGCACTATTATTTTGTCTGCGATAGCTCTAATAGACTAAAATTTAAACCCGCTCTATATCCAAAGTTTGTAAAAATAGGAATAGATTTAATTCTTATCCCTCTCTAAAGAATTATTATATAATAATTATAAAAAATGATATTTCCAAATATTTATAATAAAAAATTAAATTACATTCTATTTTTTATATATTCCCTTTTGTGAAGATTAAGGAAATTAAATTACTTTAATTTTTGTTTTCTTGTTATTAAATCATATATTTTCTTGAAAATGCAAAATTTTTATTACTTTCTTATATTTTGTCTTTTTACAATATGCAAGTTGGTTCATGATAACAAAATTTGCACATTTTTTTTTATATAAACGACATTGAGCAATATCAGTCGAAAATTGAATTTTCAATTTTCTCACGAGTCTTTTTCGTATGCTTTTGATACGAGCATAACACTTACTCAAATATTCTATCGACTTTAACAGTAAATTGTAATGAAAAAAACGCGTTAAAATATAGATCTGAAGAAAGATTTAAAGAAAAAGTAGTTACAAGATGATCATAGTAATGGAATGTCATAAAATCTATGTAAATCTTGAATAGTAATAGTCTTATTCCCACCTCGCATTTTTCAGTCTGAGTTAAGTAGCCTGCCCGCTTCTTGATCGAGTAGCCAAAAAAGAGTACCATCAACTGGTTCCACTCTGGTAGCTGGTAAATCTTCCTTATCTCTCAAGATTTTCTATAAATAATAACATTAATCATTTAAATACAATCAAACTTTTATTTTTTTAAATTTCTTTTCACTTGTGTTTTATGCGCAGTTCTGTAATATTAATTATATGTTTTAATTGCAGAAGTAAAATATAAAGTAAAACAAAAAACGGAATATAAAAAATCTAGTTGTTGAAGAATTATCTGTGATAAAAAAAGTGGCGCAAATTCTTAAACATCTTAATTATAATTGATGTATTATTTTTCAATTTTCTTTACTGTTTATTTTTCTGAATTTAATTGAATACCTTCGAGAAATCATATTTTTAAAGTTTTAGCTATTAAAAAAGTGAGAAAAATTGTTTAATTACTCAATTAGAAATATTATAACTAATGTTGATTTTCTAAATATATTTTAAATTTAAAAAATGGTTAATTTACAGGAAAAATTTGGAATAATTACTTTGACGATCTCAGCCTTGTTAGCGCCAGTGACAATAAACACACACATGCGAGCATTATTAATGACCGGCATAGTGAGACTAATTCTACTGGGTGGTGGTTTTGGCGCGTTCAGTTCCCATGTGACCCACATGTTCTCGTCATCGAGAGCTCGATGACCCGGAAAGAGTGAGCACGTATGCCCGTCCTGGCCAACACCCAACAGCAGACAATCGAATCTCGGTAATCTATCCGGCGGGAAGAAGAAGGCCATTTTTTTAATGTAATCCTTCGCCGCGTTCTCGGCTACAAATATATAAATAAATAAATAAATAATAAACAATAAAA